GCATGCTAGAGAACTGCCCTCTATATTTGAATAAAATGTCTTTTATATTATCTGTGTATTGATTTCCAGGGCACTTACCCTTCAGCAAAATTAGTCCATTGTATCATTGTTTCTCTCTAAATAGAGTCAGAAGGATTAAAAATGTCAGCACAGTCATAATGACTTATAAAAACTGGGTTTGGATTTTAAAAATGATGGGCAATGTCATGCATGTCATGTTGTAGGATTTCATGCCTCAAGAGAAGACTGCAGAAAAAGGTTTGAGGAACATGGAGAAATACCATGCCAAAAGTTGTGATTGATTGCTGGTATTATTTTTCAAGAGTCATATGCTGGGGCAGTGCTGAAGGATGGCTGGGGTGACCCTAGAAATACATTTGGTATAGTGCAGTTATAGTCAACCTTCTTGAAAACACAAATCTCATCCTTCATCTGAAGCAGAGTTAGAAGAGCAGCAGGGGCCCTGTTGAAAGGCAACCCACTAAGCCTTTTCAGCCAACTCTGTGGCCACACTAAAGCCAACGCTGACCACATTGTCAGCTGCCAGAACCTGGGAAGGACCCCAGTGAGTGTCAGGGCATGAGCAGACTGCTTTTGCACTGTGATTGCTTCCCAGCACTCCCTTGGGAATGAACAGATTATCTGTTCCTATTTTATATCTAGGTAATAAGTCTTGTTTCAAAAAGCACTTTTTTTAGCTGAGCATGGAGGCCTGCAGGCTGCAGCTACACATCATCAGATTAATTACACTTTATGCACCACAGGGGCCTGGCTAGTGGGGGATCTTGCTTCATTATTCATGCCTACATTTGTGCCTCACTTTTTTGCCAAGTTGTATCCTTATCCGTAAAATCCCTAAACATTTGTCATACACATTGGGATCTGCTTTTGTAACAGCTCCAGCCCCCTCAGACTTGTTCTTTACTATCCCATACAAGAGGATAAGGGGAGGAGAAGAAGGAGGACTGGGGCAGAGATCCAGGGGAGATTCTTAGAGGAAACAGATTTTCCCACCCTTGATGCAGCTGGGGAGGAGAGGAGCAGGCACCTCGCACCTGGAAATGCTGAAGCAGCAGTCATGCTGCTTTCTGCACAGTCACCTTTACAACAGCAGCTGTGTTGGTTTTTTAAGGCTCTGAAAGACAAGGAAGTGAGGCAGGAATTCCTCTTCAGTGCCCCAACAGTCTGCCCTTCACACATCTGCTGGCTTTACCTGCACCTTGGACTGCACTTGCTTCCTCTTTATACAGTCACAAAAGAGGTAAATCATGAGATTAAGAATCAAAATGAACACAAGCAACCTGTAAGCAATGAAGATCTCTGGATAAATAGTGGGATAAATAAGTAGTGGGGTTGGGGTTTCTGGTATGCTGATACTGCTGTCTCACTTTCAGGCTGATAAACAGTACTGTAAGATTGACAAGTCATGGGACACTGAACAGTACTTACCATGAGACACAGAGACTTTATGCAGATTTATAAATTCAGAAAAAATTCCCAGCTTAGACAAAGGAACGGGACCTCAAAGGTAGAGTTTTGTCAGCTTTGAAACACTTCACACATGTAAAGCCAAGCACGATAATGCTGTAAAACCAATCACTGAAGAAAACACATCCCAGTCCCTCTGTTCGTGTTACCACCCATCTACAAATCAACCTATCCTGGTTGCCTATCCTGGCAACTCTGAAGGAGGAACCCACTAATTTTGAAAATGTCTGGTTCTCTCCAGAGGAAACATAGTTATATTCTTAAACACTGATTACCCTGAAGCAGTCCCTACAGTTGGGTCCCTTTAGTCCAACTACAGTAGTAACACGTCTGAGGTTATTAATGTGGGTAGGCATGAAGGAATATGCACACAAGAAAACAGTCATAAAACTGAAGACATTAGCAAAATATAGCAAGGGGACAACGATCTCCAAGTCTGGATGTAAATGAGGAAATTATGATTTCTTCACAAAGTTAAAAGACAAAAGGAATACCTCTGCGACAAAAAGAGCCGGAAATGTTAATACTATGGCCACAATCCTGGTGAAAAGGGAGGATAAACTAAAGCAGTGCAGTTCAGTTGTGATTTTTGTTTGTTTGCTTACTTACTAATGAAGTAGCACCTCTGTTTATGTGTTTCTTTCACTCTCATTTCAGGTGGGATAATGTAGAAGCTAACAATATCCAGAACTACAACAAACTGAATACTGGCACAACACACAACTATGTCAATAATGTGGATGCAAGAGCCAATTTTTATAAGAGAACTGGATATTGAGATCTCTGAATAATGATTAGAGTCACTGATTCATACTTTGCTTCTAATTAAAAACAACCTGGATTTCTCCCTCAGAAATAGTAAGAATGGGGGGGAGCAATGAAGCCAGAAACAAGTACAAGATTCCAGCAGGGTTTTTTTCAGCTAAGGCTAAAAAAGCAACTTAAAACATAACACTGCTAATAATCCAAACTGTGACCTATCTCTTGCCATTTTCAGCTTACTTCAGGAGAATATTCAGAGTTTTCACCTGTGCCTGCAGTTTCTCAAGCAGCAGATTATTGTTGCACGAAAGTTATAACACTGCTTAACAAGATTTTATCTGCCTTGCATCTTATCTGCCCATACCTCTGTCTAACAGCAGTACAAAACAGCAGTGCAGGCCGTTCAGAGAGCTGTCCCTGCCCTGAGGTCTTCAAGACCCAAAGGTTTTCAAGACCCAGATGGATAAACTACTGAGTAACCTTGTCTGACCTCAGCACTGGCCCTGCATTGAGCAGGAGGTTGGACTAGAGACCTATGAGGTACCTGCCAACCCGAATTTTGTGATCATCTTATGTCAGTCTGTTTGTTCCCTGCACAAAAAGTCTGTTTGTTCCCTGCTTCATAAAGATCTACACAGAGCATTGACAAAGCTTCATTAATGAAAGGATGTGGACATACACTGTGTTTGTGCACCCTGTTGGTTCAGGTTTTAGACTTGAGAAAATCTTTAGAGGATGTGTGCTTATACAGAGAAGGTTTGAGATAGTAGATTGAGTGTATGACACTTGTGACCTTGGAAGAAATACCATTTCAGAAACACCCAAACAGAACATTTTGAGGAAATACAATTTTCTTTTTCATTAAAACTGACAGGTTGTCAATTAAAGACATCTGAAAGCATCTCTTGTACCTAAATCTTTCTCAGAAATAACAGGTACTATCTATGTTCCCTTCTCTGTACTTGGGAAGCAGTTATTAGCTCTGTTTTAACTTAGGTAGTTTATCACACACTTTTGAAGCCCTGCACGGTACCAAGCAAGCCTGCTCATTAACACATTCCCTCTGGAATACCCTGCAGTACTTTTGTGGGCTGTAGCATCAGTACTGTGCAATGAACAAAAGATCCACGTCCATATCCGTATCCATATCCACATCTGTATCCGTACACACGCCGTGTGGGACGGAACTGGAAGCGCGTCCTCTGCCAGAGGCTCACCAGCCTGCAGTGCCCTGGACCCGAACCCGAACCTGCTTGGTAAGGCTCTGGTGCTCCATCCTGGCTCTGGTGCTCTGGAACTCCAATCCTGGTACAGGTCTTATTTGCTATCCACCAGCAACAAGATCCATTTGATCCAAGATCATCTTCTGGGCCCTAGTACTTGTGCCATCTCTTTCAAGCATGCCCTGCACATTGGGTGCACTACACACGCCCTTCAAAAGGGTTCAAATTCCAGCTTGTACTAAGCACCTCCCTGGGGGAACGTGATCAACACCTTGCAGAGACTGCAGTTCTAACATACTGCAGCACAAGACACTGCGCAGATGCTGGAAGGAAGGAGGAAGGGAGGGAGGGAAGAAAAGCATCATTCATTTATCTGCTTCACTTCTTCCATGCTATTATATTTCAGCTGAAATTTTAATTTCTGCCTTCAGCCTGCCTGTAGGGGCCATTACACTCTTCAATGCCACTGTAGCCTATCCTTTTCCTTCTGTGCACAGTGCTTCCAGCTTTTATCTCCCTGTACTGATATGTCTGTCTACTCCTTCGAACTCCTACTGGTGTTTACCCTTCTCTGCAAGCAGGAGGAAAGGATAAACAATCATTTTCAGCGACTGTATCCCTCTGATCTTCTCACAACATACAGTCATTAAGATTAACTCCTTTTCAGTGTGTCTAGTGTGGAGAGGCTCACAGTGCGTTAAACCACAGAATTTAGGCTCGCTGGAATGAAAACTACTTTTATCATTTGATACAGCAGCAGTAAATAAAATTACGCACAGAGTAGTCTTTTATAAGCTTGCAGCCCGTAATTCCTAACTCGTGTCAGAGTCATGCTTCAGGGGCTCCAGACTTCTAAAGTTTGCAATTTTAGAACAGGAAAAGCATCAACGTTCACATAAACTGCAGCTCTTAGGCTATTATTGTACACTTAGGATCAGGGAATATATATGAAGTGAGATAGCATGTTTCCTGGAAGACAAATTATACAACGTACCAAGATATGAATAACTCCTGTTACGTCCAAATGGAGAGTTTATGTACTTTTTAAGTTACAGGAGAAGCCAGATGAGATATTCTTTGCTAAGGAACAAGCCTGAGATCTGGATAACCAAGTCATCCAAATGCCTGACACTCTCCGTGGATAGCCAGTCGATTCTCCTGTGACTACTAAGCAGAGGGCTTTTCAATTCCAGTTCTGTCCTTTATGCAGTGAAAGTGAAGTCCTGCATCATCACTGTAAACCTTTACTGTTAGCTGGGAAACATCCTCGACATCATTAGCTACCTCTATTCTACTCACTTCTCTGCTTATCTGACTTTATAAATAAAGTTCTCTTACAGCTAGCCATAAACTGCAGCAATCTAGTCACAAAATTAAAACACAGACAGCCTATAATTCATTTAATATTTTAGGCAACTATTAACAACATTGAATTTCCTATCTGTACACGTACAATTCTTTAAGTGTCACCTCTGCCATTCATACCAGACAGGGTTAAGAATTTTCTTACATTTCATACACAAACTCTTAACTCAGAATTTAAAGTATTTATTTTATAGAATCTAAATCCAACCAGCACACCTTACGACTTAATTTCTTTCTGCTCCACAGGTTTCAGACGCCGTTTAATGACAAGCTCTCCGTTGCGTGTAAGAAAGGTGCCGGGTATTTCCTCTTCTGTTGGCAACCCGTAGGGCAGTTTCAGTGGCTTTATTCTACAGGCAAAAGAGTTTGCTTAGTGAAGTCCTGTGACTAGAAGAGAGTTACACTAAATGTTCCAAATAAGCAAATAAATAAACAAATAATCAACAAACCTTATCAGATGTTTAATAACTTTCAGTCTGGAATTCACGGAAGGGATATTTTTGTGCAGTCTTGGCTGATGCGCCTACATAAAGGATAAAACAGGTTTTACAAATGCGTTGTCAAATCCCAAATCTCTGTTCACTGAACTTTTCACACTATCAGTAAAAATATAAACCACAATTGCAAAGATTTAGAGAACCATCATGCATCACAAACATAAATGTGAAATCAAAACTGGATCAAAATTGATTCCAGTAAAATGAAAATTTCAGCTTTATTCCCATTCCATTATCAATACATTTTTCTTCCAGCTGTTAAAAACACTATAAATGTAAATACAGGAATTTAGGAGCAAAACTGCTTGTTTCAGTTACATATTAAATGGATCAAGCACACATTTTATTCTTTGTAATATAACACTGACTAGATGAATCTTTGCACAATGTGCAGCTAGCCTGAAAAGCCTGGATAAACACATCTTTGACACAAACTCTTAGTCTTGGCCTTCAAAGCCTTTTCATTGATAAACGAGTCTTATTTGCCTTCCTGCAATATCTAAATAACATGACCCACAGAGAAAACTGAATTCAAAGTATTTACAAATCTATTTCTATTATTTTAGCAGAATTCTCAGGGTGAAGTTCTCCTCAGGCATGCAGCACAATACCATAGAGGGATATTTTGAAAGCGCATTTGCCATGAACATTTCCCTCAGCTGCTATAAATGTAATTATGTTTTGTGACTGCAAAGTTGAGGTCCTTAAAAAACCAACCAGCTTAATGCTCCATTTCTGATGTATACAACAAGTACAAAGAACAACAATCATACTTTATCCAGCCCAAGGTCACGTACTATCTTCTTTTCCCAATATGGGCGACCAATGACACTTTTTATTCTGGTAATAACATGGATTTTGTGGGGCTGCTCAGGGTCACCTCCATACTTCTCATGATCTCCAGGCCGTGGCTGAAATACCTAAAATGAAAAGTTCACAAAACCAGAAGTTTTTTTCCTAAATATCTGATAATTATTATTATAGTCAGCTACTCTCTAAAACATACTTCAACCTTGGTAAATATTCTTACATGTTTTTCTTTTCAGGCAGTCAAAGTACCAACAAAGTGAAACAAAATTTTATAACATAAAGTCAAATATATCTTTATAATGGTTTGCTGATAGTGACTCACAGAAACACATGGACAACACTGGACCAGCACAACACCTAATTCACGTGCATCTCCTCAGGGAGCCTGTGCTCAGCCTCTGCATGGCACATTTTTCCACAGGTTTAAAAATGCTTTTAAGGAAAAGTATGAACTGACACAAGATGGTATCTTGCAAAAATGTAAATGTAAAAATGTAAAGTGCAAGTCAAACTTCCCATCACTTTGGTTTAATTATTTACTGGACAAAATATTTCAGTTGGAAGGGACTTATCAACAATCATCTAGTCCATCTCCTGATCACTTCAGGGTGGACCAAAAGTTAAAACATTATTAAGGCATTGTCCAAATGCCTCTTAAACACTGACAGGCTTGGGCAGCTGAACACCTCTCTAGAAAACCTGTTCCAGTCTTTGACCACCCTCTCAGTAAAGAAATGCTTCCTGATGTCCAGCCTGAACCTGGCAGCTCTAAGCCATTCCCATGCACACTGTCACTGGATCTCAAGGAGAACAGCTCAGCACCTCCCTCTCTGCTTCCCATCCTCAGGAAGCTGCAGAGAGCAGTGAAGTCACCTCTGAGCCTCCTTTTCTCTGAACCAGACAAAGCCAGAGTCCTCAGCTGCTCCTCTCAGGACATGCCTTCCAGCCCTGTCACCAGCTTTGTTGCCCTCCTCTGGATGCATTCAAAGACCTTCATGTCCTTCTTAAATTGGGGGGCTCACACAAACTGCACACAGCACTGGAGGTGAGGCTGCACCAATGCTGAATACAGCGGGACAATCACCACCTTTGACTGTCTGGCTGTGCTGTGTTTGATGCCCTCCAGGATGGGGTTTACCCCCCTGGCTGCCCGTGTTCCATGCTGACTCCTGTTGAGCTGTTGCCCACCAGCTCCTCCAGATCCCTTTTTTCAGGACTGCTCTCCAGCCGCTCCTGTCTCCATTTATACCTGTGCCCGGTATCACTTGGTACCAAGTGCAGTATCTGGCATTTATTCTTGCTAAATTTCACGCCACTGATGATTGTCCAATGTTCCAATCTGTCTAGATCTCTCTACAAACTTGCTAATTGTGCAATCAACTCCTGCATCCAGATCATTGATAAATATTTTGAACAGACTTGGCCCTAGAACTGAAGCCTGAGAAACATCGCTGTTGCCCTGTCACCAGTCAGATGCAACCCCATTCACTGCAACCCTCTGGGCTCTGCCCTTCAGCCAGTTCTTCACCCAGAGCACTGTGAACTCGCTCATCCCAGAGAGTCTCTGGAAATCTGTCATACCGCAGCAAACACAAAATTTAGCAGGCTAACACCCGCTTTTTTCAGTTTCTCAATTACTGAAGCACATACCGAGTCTGGAATTCTGGACCTGGTAAAGAGACAGCGAGCCCAGGTTGGGGACGCCATCCCCTCCATCCTCTTTCCCAGCAGCTGCAAAGAGAGGAGGGCACAACTCGTCTGCACTTTCCTTACAGCTCTGAATACTCGCAAACAGACGACACAGCCACAAGCCCCATTCCCCGCGCAGATCCCTACACAGATCCCAATGTTCCTGGCGGCTGCGAGTCCCAGCTCAGATCCCCACCTGGATCCCCACCTTCTCAGTGGCTGCGTGCCCCAGCTCTAGCCCGGATCCTGCCCCAGATCCCCCCCAACTCCCCCCTGGATCCCGCCCAGATCCCCCCCTGGATCCGCCCCAGATCCCCCCCAGGATCCCGCCCCCAGATTTCCCCATCCTCACCCTCCCGCTCCTGCAAGCCCCAGGCCCGCCCGGCCCGCCCCGGCGGCCATTTCGGTGCGCACCCCTCTCTCGGCCGGACACCAGCGCCGCGGCACTTGAGTTCCGAGCGGGCGGAAGGACAAGGGTGTGACACCGCCCCTCTCCATCCTCCCCCTCAGCTCCCTGCCCTTTCCCGGTAGTCGTCCCGGTCCTGGTCCATGTCGCGGTCGGGGGGCGATGGCACCGCCGCGCTGGAGCGGGCCGGGGCAGAGACGGTGAAGCGGGCGGTGGAGCTGGACGTGGCATCCCGGTTCCAGGAGTCGCTGGTGTGTTACCAGGAGGGCATCGATCTCCTGCTGCAGGTGGTGAAAGGTACCGGGCGAGGGGGCTCCCCGGCCTCAGGGTCGGGGGCGGTTCCAGGAACACCCGAGCTGTGTCGGGCGCGGAGGGCCGTCGACACACGGGGAAGAAGAGAGGGACAGCTGGCGGTGTCTCCCCAGGAGAGCGGGGCCAGGAAGTGCTGGGGAGAGTTTTTTAATGGCCCCTGTGCTTTTATGGGTTACAGCCACGAAGGATGAGGCAAAAAAGCACCGCTACCGGCAGAAGATCTCCGAGTACATGACCAGAGCCGAAGACATTAAAAAACACATCGAGAAAGAGAAACAAGGTATGTATAAAAATCTGAACGGAGGGTGCCAAGAGGATGGAGCCAGGCTCTTCTCAGTGGTGCCCAGCAATAGGACATGAGGCAATGGGCAGAAACCAATGCCCAGGAAGTTCCACCTGAATATGAGGAAGAACTTCTTTATTGTGTGAGTGACCAAGCACTGGAACAGGCTGTTCAGAGGGGTTGTGGAGTCTCTCTCGCTGGAGATAGTCAAGAACTGTCTGGACACAGTCCTGGACCATGTGCTCTGGGATGACCCTGCTTGAGCAGGGAAGCTGGACCAGATGACCCACTGCGGTCCCTTCCAACCCGGCCCATTCTGTGATTCTGTGAGCTGTGATGTCCCCGTTCGCTTTTAAGTATCTGTTCTTATGCAAATGTTTGATGGGTGAGGTGTTTTAACACAGAAATTATGTCCTGACCGTTACTTAAACAGAGACCTGCTTTCTTTTCAGATGGCAAATACCATAAGCAAATCAGGATAGAGGAAAATGCAACGGGTTTTGGCTACGAAAAGCTTTTCCATGAGTACCTTACTGAGGTTGTTTCTGAGGTTTGGGTGGAGGACCCGTACATTAGGCACGTTCACCAGGCAAGTAGATACTTGGTGTAACTAATACAGATGTAGCTACTAGAGACATTCCAAGTTACTAAATTAAATAAAACTTTTACAGTTGTATAACTTTCTACGATTCTGTGAGATGCTAATTAAGGGGCCGTGCAAAGTGAAAACAATCCACCTCCTCACTTCCTATGATGAGGTAAGTGTCTAGATTTTGGTTTCTACTGATGTGGCAGGTGATGCCACATGCAAAAAAAAATAAAAATATAGACTTGTTCTTACTTACCAGAACTTATTAGACTCAGTCTCTGATGATTTCAGCAGAAAACTCAGACTTAAGAGAAAAATAAAAATGTGATAGTTGAACATAAGTAATTTTGTAAGTTCAGAGTTTTCTGATAACTCTAACAAATTCTTGGTAAGGAGAGTCTTAAATCAAAAAGATGTTTCTGTGAAAGTTTTGTTGTGGAAAATGTCATCAAAAGCAAAGCGTCTATAGAGATATGGGTTTTTTTGCTCTTCCAACAGCTGTATTTAGTTGTCATTTTAGAGGCTTTAACGAGCTGTAATCTCTCAAACTAGCACTGCATTTATTTAAACTGTTACTGCACTTATTTTTAATAGTAATTCATATCTAGTTGCAAAGGGCTGAGAGTAAGCTCCTCCTCCACATCCCTTAGAAAATGTACCTGTAATCTGTCTGCTCTTTATCCTGTCTTTGAAACTGCAAATCTACTTTGATTGTAAAAAGTTTTTGTTGGTGAGTTTAGGAAGAGGTGACCAGAAGTGAATATATATTAAAATAAGAAACAATCCAAACCCCACCACATTATTTTTATTTTTTACAGGGTAGTGGGAGGAGTCAGCAGATGAGTGGATTGGAAGAAATACAAGAGTCATTAAGGAATTATGGAGTAACACTGAATATTGAATTTTCGTCTTCAATACATGATCGAGAAATCAGGTGCAGGATATAAAAAATGAGCAAATTCCAGTTATTGGAAGTCAAACTATTTAACCCTAACTTTTGAGACAACTATTAATTACAGCTGTGGTTAACAAAGTAGAAGGCAGTGGCCCTCACTGGTTAAAATCAGCCTCCATAGTTTCATGTTGTCTAATTGTGAACATAATATCAGTTGTCTCTTTATGCTGTGTCTTCTGTGGTTGACACAGGTATCGGTGACACTAGGAAATAATTGTGATTGAAACAAGAAACTTGTGCATCATGTGGATGTAACTATTTTTTTATTCAACATACTCATAGTGTTCAAATTTGTGAATTTTTACAACAGATTCAACAATGGATGGATGATTAAGATTGGAAGGGGTCTTGATTATTTTAAGAAACCACAGGTAAAAATGCTTTGACCTTTTTAATTAACTTAGAATGAGCTCTTCTACAGTATTTGCTCACCATGTCAATTCTATTAATTTCTGCAGGGTCGTTTCAGCATCGGATACTGTGACTTTGACTTGCGACCTTGTCATGAAACAACAGTGGATGTCTTTCACACTAAACACACAAAGAAAATGTAATCAGATATGACTGCTTTTAATAAGTGTTTTCATAAGCATAAAAATGTAAGACTGGAAGACGTTGCTTGAGTCCAGCTGTCCACCCTCAGAAGCAACTTTTTCAAGTACTTAGTGCAGCATAGCTTTTATAATCTATAGGTTTAAGAATACTTGAGGCTTTTCAGTCTGAGAAAACACAACTGTAAATTCCTTCACTGTACTTCTTCTGTGATCTTAATTAATACAATCCATGTTTAAATTTTATCTTGATTTTGTAACAGACCCTCAATATTGTCTTTCAAAGGCCTCTTTACTGTCATTTCTATTTTTACTACTGATTTTGTCTGGAGCCAATTTTGGGGCTTATGTCTGTAATTGACCACCTCAGAAACACTGGAAGCTGGGCTGCCACGTGTCCTCTTTTATAAGCAGTCTTATTTACTTCCTTTAATTCCTGTATTCTAGTCATGACTACTATTCTAGTGGGTTTTAGTCAATCTCGTAATACCTTATTTCACAGACTTTACTGGTAACCCCAAATTTAACATTCCATTTTCCAAGCCTCTTGCCTACAAGAGTTTTAGTGTTCAGTATACAGTCATTTTAGGGTTGTCTTACGTGTCTCTGCATGATGGATTTTGGACTAGGAAGGCTGAAAACAGCTGTATTCTCTTCCCTGTCACTCCTATATGTTCTTTTATTCCATGATGTATGGTCATATACCTGATTTCCATCCTTTGCATTAGGTGTGGAAAGGATGTATGATCTTCTCCCAGTCTTATTCTCTGACTTTAAAGTCCAATGACTGGCTACTCATGCCAGTCTCAACTGCATTTTTCCCTACTACTATAGTAGTCCCCTAAAAAAACCAAAATTTATTTTTAAGTTCTTCCAAAAGTTGGATACCCTGAATAGCTCAGTTCGTCAGAGCATGGTGTTAATAACACACTGTGGGTTCAATCCCTGTACAGGCCATTCACTGAAGAGCTGGGTTTGATGATCCTTGTGGGTCAGAGTATTCTGTGATTCTAAGGAATATGCTATTTGGAGTAAAGACAAAGGCTTTCCTTGTCATTCCTTCATCCTTTGGAAACCAGAAGGTATTACCTGAGCTGCTGCTTCTTTTTTTTCTTAAACAAGAGTTCTTTCTTAGCAAGAATTCACCAAAGTCATGTATTCTGACATGAAAAACAGGCAGTGGCCTCTTTTGCAGGTCCCATCAAAATCTTTTTAGCCTCAGGACTGATAGGTGCCTTATGCTTTCTGCTCCTGTAATACAGTAGGCCTCTGTATCCTAGTAGCATGTTTATAGATGTATTCTATTATACTTTTCTTTCCTTAATGTGCTTTATTATTTTATTTTCTATCATCTAATGCTGCTATTCTTTCCCTCTTGCCTATAACAACAAATCTGTTCCACAGAAATCAAGAAGAAATGGAGCTGGTCTTTACCTTATTTTCTGGGTCACAATTTGCCAGTGATTTGCCTTCTTTATCCTTTCTCATAGTAATGTCTCAGCTTTGGAGTGTCACATCAGCAAAATGAGTAATATATGTGCCACAGAGCTGTGTGCTACTAGTTGTTCCCCCAGACATTCCATAGAAGCTCCTGGGCTTGCTGCTGTGATACTACTTTTCTAGTCACTGTTGTGAATTTTATTCACTTGTGTATAATATATGCCTATTTTTAATGGGAATAAAAAATATTTTTTATTATTTGTAGTTTTAGTCATCTGTTTGGCTTCTTCGCTGCACAGAGTAATTCAAGGAAGCTGGGTAATGCCTCGTGGATCCAGCTGTGTTTGGGAGAAGGCTCACTGTAAATACAGTAAGCTGCCCAAATGGGAAGCTTTGTGTCTTTTAACCCAGTTCAGCAATTTTAAACATACAGAGGCAAAATAAGGAGCTTTTTCTTCTAATTCAACTATAATTCACTAGCTAAGACTACAGCTTTCCTTGCAGATCCCACGGATATGCAGTATCTGTACACATGTACAAGTAAGCCTTTAGTGACGTACCACTTGGTGCTGCACTGCAATTTTTACTTATAAGCCCTTTATCGCTGAACAGTTCCTTGTGCTGTCAGTAGGAACACCATGTGTGAAGAGCAGTGGGCATCAAGGAATGGAAAAAACCCAACAAACTACCAGAGAAATCTGAGAGTACAGTTCTGAAAAAGACTCCAAGCCATATTCTTCTGTATTGCTGCTCACACTGATGCAGTCAGATCATCACCTGGATTGTGCAGCCAGAACTGTCCCCCCTGGCATCATCTGTGGAGATGAACTTAAGCCACCTTCCCTGCTGGGCTCGGCCGAGTGTCACTCAGCCCTAGCACCAGTCCCAGCTGATGGCTGGATTCACCCCCATATACTGCACTCCTTAACTAAAGGTAGGTCACTTCTGCCCTGTAATTTCCTCCTCATGAGAGCTGATCAACCAGTCATCTTTTAAAGGTGTCAGTGGGGAAGTAACACAGTAACACCTTATAGGCCTTTGCAGACATCACTTCTTAACTATTTGCAGCTGTCTCATCTGGGCAGCATTATTTAATTAACTGCTGGTGTTCTGACCTGATCAAAATTGCATTCCAGTTATTCCGTGACAGAATGCGCTGCTATGACTTGGATTCCCACGTTCTGCATGGCCTGGCAGGACTGCAGACTGATCCCTGCTGAAACCCCCCTGCTGCCACTCAGAAAGGTAAGGGACAGTTTGAAATCCTTACTGGAGCTTCAGCTGAGGGTTTTATGTATGGACAACAAGGACACTGGAAATCAGTGTGTCCTTACAGACCTACTTGTAAGTCTTTTAAGTCTTTGTCCAATAGTTATGCTAACTTTTCATCCAACTTTCCCTTCATGCCACAGGCTCAGAAATGTGATTAGGACAGGCCCAAGAACATAAACATCATTGCTCCTTTACTTTCTTGAGGCCAGACTGATCCTTATTTATCTTGACCTATTAATAGCAAGATTGTTTGTTGCCTAATTGATACTGGCATTTCTGAATCCACTTTATATCCACCTCTGTTTTTCCTGCAGTTTCCTTATATACAGAAGTAGTAAATGGTATTGGTACTTCAGGGCAACACATAAGTCATCTAGTAACAAGCTCTTTGTAACTATCTGTCTCATTTCTGGATACCATGGTTTCATTTAAAGTCATACCAGCCTGGTTAACCTTCTGGGAAAAGACTTAGGTAAATTGAGTTGTGCTTATATATTGTGCTGAATGGAATTTACCTTGATGTGCTCACACCTTGACAGGGTGAATTTATGGCTTTTTTGCTTGATGAACCTCCCACTTCAAATTTAACTAACTCTACTATTCAAGAGCAGTTTGGTGAAGAAAGAGTTGTGTAATATAAAGGTACATAAACTCTCTGACTGCCTCATTTGGAGACTTCAGATCAGTGGAGTCTGTCACTGCTGCACTGGGTTCTCTCCTAAAACTGTAGTAATAAAGTGCTTCTGTTCTGACCTAATCAAAATTGCATTTTGCTTATTCACAACAACAGTGAAATATATCTTGAGCCTTTCTCTCATAATTTTACTTTATATTGAACTATCATTTAACATTAAAATTGTCATTTTCAGTTCGCTATTGTCTCTTACTAGAAAATTTTCTCCTAGGTTGTAACATAAGGCAACCTGTTTCTCCCAGATCTGTACTTGCAACTGTATCTCCTAAAGTTTAGCTTAGATACCAGTACCCAAGGCAGCAGGGACTCCCAGCTTCGTGCCAGGCAGTGTAGGAACAAAGGAGGCAGAGCTCTCCTGCCCTCATCACACAACCCCCCACACTGAATTTCCTAATCCTTTGCCTGCTCTTGCACATGCATGGACAAAAAAGCCCTAATCCAGCCCTAATCCACTGTCAAAGTGAGTCATTACACAGCAGTGAGTTCAGCATACATACCATGCTTGTACAGTGGAGGCACAGCGGCACCAGCATTCTGCAAGAAAGGACTTTCAACCAGGGGACATCCGTCTCCACACAGTTCAGGGGCTGAGACACAGCCTTTGGACTACAATCCCCAAGGAACAGGGTGCAGGCTGGGGCATCCAGTGCAGCAGCAAAGCACCAGTTTTCACCTACCCCATCCCATCTCTGCCAGCCATTTGTACCTCCTCTCCTACAGGGCCAATTTGGGATGCCCGCACCATTTCTGATTTAAGCAGCAATGATTTCTTGTCAGCAGTGGCTTACATCCTACAGTTTGGGAACATCGGGTGCAGGCAGTGTGAAATTTAATTGTAATATAAAACAAAAGCACAAGATCAAACAGTTTGACTAGTAAGAGAAAAATTCAGCTTTAATTTTGTTTTTAATACATTAAATAAAAAAGCAACAGAAGTTTAACTTACATTTTCAAAATGCAAGTCACATTAGCATTATCATATTCTCACATAGTAGATTCCACCTGCTGTGCAACTCATCGTCTTGTGGACACACTCTTAGCAATGTTGTCACTAGTGTTGTAGTTTCATTTGGGCAAAACTTACTGCCAGTAAGGCTCTTGACCAGTTTGCTGTACAGTGCTGGTGGCAGCCACTGCTCCGGCAGATCAATGTTACAGACTTCAATCCTTCCATGCTTTACATCCATATTTACTTTAATGTCAAGAAGAGAATCTTTATAGGCCATGTTAAGACAAGTGCTAATGCTGAACTTTGGTGTCTTTCCGTACACCCACTCCCAGGTTTGTAGTTCTTTAGTTTTATTATTAATTCCAGGAAGCAGAGTCTCATCAGCTGGGTTTATTAAGGTGATATGATGATCTATTTGGTGTTGTGTAGCATATTCCTTAGCAATGGCATCCAGGAGCATCTCAGAAGTTAAACTAGGATCCTCTTCAAAGAGATTTTTCACTGAGGCAGGCACACTAGGAGTGGCATTGCTCTTTAGCCCTTTATAAGGACTTTTTAGCACAGAAGATAAAACAAACTTATCTGCATTACAGAGTAAAGTACAGTGGTGATAAGCACTTGTCCCTCCCAGCTTTGCAGCAGTACCTGAGATTTTGTAGTGCCTATCTAGCAAGATGTCATATCTGTCAGTGACATGTATGTCTAACTGGGGGCGCAAGGCTTTCAGTGCCTTAACAACCAGTTTCAGGTTTTCCATTCGCTCGTATTTTTTTCTGGTTGTGAAGAAAGTCAAATTGATATTACCGAGGTCATGGTAAACTGTCCCTCCTCCACTTCTTCTCCTGGCTAGTTTTATATTTTTTTGCCTCAACAGCCTGAGGTTGCATTCCTGCCAGGGATTCTGATGTCTCCCTATTACCACAGCAGGGGAATTTCTCCAAAGGAAAAGGACCTGTCGCTTCTCTAAATCCATGTGGTCGTGGATCCAGTCTTCCACAGCTAGATTTTGGTAAACGTCATTAGAAACAGACTGGATAATGAGGGCTCCACTAGCTGTGCTCCTGAAGCCAGCTTTTGGAGTCCTGAGGACGCAGGACAGCCGAAAGCAGTTCTTTAACGATGGCTGGAGTACCATGTTTTTAATAACTGGACAGCGGATGGAAGGAATATCCACTCTGCTAAAGCTGGATGCGGCAGAAATGAAATGCTAGAGGCAGGCATGACGCAGTCATGCTCTTCCCACGGCAGCATGCCAGTTCCAAGGCATGGTACTCCTCCGGGTGATGCCGCTCAAGTCCTGTCGGGAGCTTCCCGAAAACATCCGGGGGTGTCAGAGTAGCTGCTCCTCGCAGTCCCTGGTGCCTAAAAGACCAAAGGAAGAGACGGAATGTGTATTTTCCCCTCACTCAACAGAGCCTTCCTAATGCGGTTTTACTTCGCGTAGTCTAGCTTTGTTAGGGTTTTTTTGGCTTTTTTCCCCCCGGGGTTCCTGGCGCGGTGTCCCCTCGGCCCCGGCGGCTGCCTCCGAGGCGCGCGCCCTCGCCCGCCGGACACCCTCGTCTACTCACGGCGGGAGCGCAGCCCCTTGCTCCCGCGGGCTCCTTGGAGCCGGCGGCGTCCTTGGAGCCGGTGGCCTCGCGAGCGCCTTCCGCTTCCCCGGGGTGAGAGGTGCTGGGGGCGGGCGCTGCCCCGCCGTGGAGCTGGGGAAGGGATGGGGGCGGAGAGCTGTGAGCGGGATCGTGCCGCTCGGGGATTGCTGATGTCCTGCCTGTCGCAGCGCAGCCATGGCACTGTGCAGCGGGAGGGAGCTGGGAAAAAGCGGGAATGATGGGTCACAGAATCACTGAATGGGAAAGGTTGGAAGGGACCACACTGGGTCACCTGGACCAACCTCCCTGCTCAAGGCAGGGTCATCCTAGAGCACGTGGCACAGGATTGTGCCCAGACGGGTCTGAATATCTGAGCGAGGGAGACTCCACAACCTCTCCGGGCAATCTGTTTCAGTGCACAGTCACCCATACAATAAAGACATTCTTCCCCATATTCAGGCGGAATTTTCTGTGCATCAGTTTCTGCCTGTTGCGTCTTGTCCTATTGCTGGGCACCACTGAGAAGAGCCTGGCTCCATCCTCTTGGCACCCTCCCTTCAGATACTTACAGGCATTGTCAGTAATACTTACAGGGTCATGCCAACAAGAGGCCAATGCACAACGGATAAAATGGATGATTCTTCTTGCCAGGCCCAGCTGCGCAATTTCTCTCCACAGGTTGTTGTGGGTGCTAGCAGCTTTCACGGGTTCACAAGGAGGCTGAAGGAGTTAATACAAATGTACAGAGGCTTGTGACATAGGCAGAAACTCTCCATGGGATTTAGGAAGATATGGAAACTAAATGTTGATAGTGTAATTCATTAACAAGCTGGAAGTGATCAAAAACTAAGTAACTGTAGATGTATTTCACGCAGCAAATTGTCTCCAGATTTGCATTGGTTTAAGCCATTCTTAAAGTCTACCAGACCTTAACTGTCAAGAGCTCTTGTCTGTACTTAAGCATACACTGTGGGACAATGTTCAATGCTAGCTGAACTTTTTTAGCTGCAGTAGTATCCCTATGGGCAAATATGTGTTGTATATCTCTTTCTGGTGTATGTGTATTTATAAAGGATACATTGCATGCTTTTGTCTTCCTCTCTGCCTTAATATAGGAGTACCAAGACATGAAGGAACTGTAGAGAGAAAAGTTTATACAGTGGGTTGTGAGAATTCACATAGGCTATCCCTCTTGAACAGGTAGTTAGGGCTAAGTAATTTTTCTTTTTTCTAGTTTTAGGAATAGATGACTTTCAAAGAAATGCCAAATTGATATTCAGGTGAAACAGTGAGATTACTTGAGGAAGCAGTTTGGCTTTGGGTGTGTAACTGGGTGCTCCTGTATTTGCTTTTCCAGTAAAGAAAACTGTTTATGATGTGGCCTGAATTGCCTTAACCTTCTAGTTGAACTAACAGTATCATAACAACTATATTCCCTGAAAGGTGAAGGAGAAAATAAGGTGGATAAGGATGAAAGACTTCCAAGATTAAAGACATAAGTTTGGGGTTATTTCCTACTGAAGTACTGATTAATTAAGAGCATGACAGTCCTTACCAAACACTTAAAAGGGCTGTGTGGGTGTAGTAGGGCAAATAAAAAGTAAGAAACCATCACCACATGTGTGCTGGTGGTGATTAGTGGGAGAAACAGACTCTAAAAGAATCTTGATGTAATGTGTGTCCCAGCACTTGGAACATTGTATTGTCATATTAAAAAAAAAAGTTGTGAATTATTTTAAGTGATTTGCAATAGACATAACTTCTTGCTAAATTAGACTGGTGATAACTTTTCACTGGGGTGAGCTATTCAGTAATGCACAGGGCAAAAGGCATGTGTACTTCTGAATATTGGAAAATCAACTTTGGAAGTAGTTGGCAAAATGCAGAAGTGAACCCGTGCACTGTGACACTGGTCCGAAGTAGGGAAATGCATCTTGTGAGACTTGTGATGTTACAAAAAACCAAACAAAATGTGGGACCATTTGTTTCCATTTTGGCAATTGATTCTTGGAAATTTGCAATGTGTCATTTTGCCACAGGGTGACACTAAAAACCTACTTTGAGCTGTTACACTACGTGTTTTTCTAGTTAAAAAATGTTTCCATAGTTAGAAGCACAATGTGCTAAAAAAAAGTAAAGTGTGCAGAATACTAGGTGGAAGTGTAAAAACATCAAGGGTCTGTTTCTGATATGCTGAAGGGTACAATACACATGAACAATAAATGCCTTTCCTGAAAAGTGGCTATTGTGGAAGACAAACCCAGCAAGATAATTGTAAATATTCTGACAATAAGCAAAAAATATGAATTTCGAAATGCACACCATGATTTATTTATTTATTTCTTCTGGATTGGACTTTTAAATACATTTTTTATGTCTCAACTACTAGTGTATAAATCACATCTGCAAAATACAGCAATTGTTATTTTTGCTTTTGAAAACAATCCTGTGTATTAATTTCATTTCTTCTTTGATCAAGAATGTGTTGTTTGGTATACAAAAAGCACAGTAACTGCTGTGCACAACATTAACCCACATAAACATATAAGAGAGAACTCACCATATGTCTCTTAGAGGATACCTTAGACATACCAGAGCAAAACTAATTAAAAATGTCTAATTTCACACCTAAAATGAACTTTCATAAAGAATAATTTTTTATTCTTCATAATAAAATTCTTATTATTCTTCATAATTAAAGTTATGAAAACCTGAAATGCTCTTTTTGCATCTCTTTTGGAGATAAACATGATAATGCAGAGTCTCTGATGGTCTCCACCATACCAAAATCCAAAAGAAAGACTTACAATAAATCCAGAATGCGGTGAGGAAAAGAAAGAGACTTGTTTCTCTTGCTCTTTTTCTGGAAGTTAAAATCTTCCAATTTCTTCTCTTTGGGTGGGGATTGTATTTCTGAGGTGTTACTCACACCTAATATCTGAAAAGGTGAGCTCTATTCGTGAGTGCTTTATAGTGGTTGCTTGCCAAAAACCCCCATCATTCACCTGACACTGTCTGCAGAATATAAAACCTGTTCTAGTGGCTAACAGGGAAGAGAGTGAGTTTCATTGGATTTCTCAGCTTGACTTTGGGACGACCTAAAGCAGCCTCTTTCAAAGACTCTTTATATCCACGCCCGACAGAAGCAGGCAGTAGGAGTCAGAGGACTCACATGGTCCCCTTACCCTTTTCACATCACTTTCTTCAAAGGCACCAATCTTCCTGTCCCTGTCTGTGCTATTCCAAGAAGAGATATGCAGCTAGAGGTACTGTAAATAAGAACTGCTATCTTTCTTGGACATAAGAAGATGTAAGAGGTAGTCTCTCTCATATGATTTTGTTGACGGAATAAAGAAAAGCACAATTAGCCTTGTAATACCATGACATTTTAACTTTACAATGTCTGCAAACCAGTTAATATGTCAATCCTGGCATTAAAAATCAGGAATGAGTTCAGACTGGTGTTTTATCATATGTGTGAAGCTAATGCTTGACACTGTCAAGAAACAAGTGTGATGTTAAGGGTGATATTTATTCTGGAAGATACAACTGGTACATAATTTTACAAATACATATGCAGATTAGATGGGTTTTGGATAGAAGATAAGATTTAACTCAAAGAAGGCTATTTCCACAAGATTAAATCAGTCTTATCTAACACTTGTTTTGTTCTTGTCAAGCCAGAGAGATTGTATTGCAGTTGCTGGAGTTTTCATCTGTAAACGTGTCTCCTTGGATATTAGTTTCTGAAAGAGATGAACCTAATTAGAGCAGAGGTGTTCAGCTGAGCTGCCTGAGCTCACAGTCAGTCCCAGTTGATCAGCTGTGGCAGTTTCAGAATACCCATCTCTCTCCTGGGGCTGGATTAACGAGACTTGGCTGCTTGGCTTTGTCTCTGAAGTCTTCTGACCTGTAAGCATTGCTTGTGCTGCCTTTCCCTGCCTTCCTCTGAGGCTTTCACATTAATCACGGATGAGGCCTGTGTCACGTGTGCAGATGGGAGGTTTGTGTTAAAGGTGCTCTAAAACCGAAGAATTCCACTCAAACCAACAATGGGAGGTGGTATTGCCCAAGAATGCCAATTTATTATGCCCACCCACCTCCCTGTTTCCATCTCCAAATAGCCATTAAGAATTGAAGTATTATTTGAGGAAGTCATCTTTTTATCTGTCAAGGTGTGGAGAAAATGTTGTGTCACTTAAGGAGAAGCTTAGCTCAACTCCCTCCCCCAACGAAAAAGCCATTCAAAAAGGTATAGCAGCAACTGCTCACTCAGTATTTGTTTGTACTTAAAACCAAAAAGAAATATGAACACCTTTTCTTGACTTTAGTAATGTTTATTGAGGAACTGTGCTCTAAGTCATAAACTTGATACTGAAAGTTGAATTTTCATAGATAAGAGTTATTCAAAAACCTCCCAAGATGAAACCAAGTAGAGAAATAATTAAAATTTCTTTAAAGGGAGTGTTTATAAATATTTATATAAGAATTAATGGGGAAAATGCTTTTACTGATAACTTTGTACAAGATTTTACAATGCATCTTTTTTTTAATAATTTTTAGGATTTTTTCTAACCTCTGATTTTGTTTTGCCTCTAGAATTTCAGTCAGATACACCTGTGGGGAAAACGAGGATTATGATAATCTTTGAAAGCAAGATTTAAGAGCACAAAAGTGCAGAGACTGCATGCCTGCTGCACACAGCTGTTTAGGTAAGCTGTTATGCTGGTACTGTACCAGAAGTTGGTATGTTCATCACAGCTGCTTGGCTTCTGTCCCGTAGAACACCCGGCTCAAGGAAAACACAGAGTTATGGATGGGTCAGAAGGAACCTTAAGGACCATTTAGTTCCAACCCCTGGCCATGGGCAGGGACACCTTCCACTAGATCAGGTTGCTCAGAGCTCCATCCAACCTGGTCTTGAACAGTTCCAGGGATGGGGAGTCCACAGCCTCTCTGGGCAACCTGTTCCAGTGTTTCACCACCCTCACAGTCAAGAATTTCTTCCTAATATCTAATCTAAACCTGCTCTCCTTCAGTTTTAGGT